TACAGTTAGCATCACGCAATATTTGAGGCTTGAACATAACCAAGAGAATAGGTAATGTTAAATGTTTTGTAATTTGTATATTAGCTTTTCTTAATTGTACATTATAAAATTATGTTTGCTCAGCAATTGTTGTTGGTTGTTGGAGTACTCACTGTATTCTGCAATTGCGTGACCGTTGTTAAACTCAGCACAGTCAGACTTTATTTTTACCGGTACGATAAAAAAATGTGAGCTTGTGAAGCGTGTAAAGAAATATTATTCCTGTCAGATGACTTAACTTTACTTTATTCACCTGAATGAATTTCGCGGTGATACATCTTTCTTGGAGTGGGCACATGCTTTTATGGTTCATTCGTCACTCATTTTAGAGGATTTGCCATTAATAACACTATACATCAGACCCTACAAGTTTTCGATCAATAAAAATCCGAAATAGTTTATTTTCTCAGTAGTTTTTCAAAGTTACGTTTTGGTGAAATCGTCTCGCATATTAAAAATAACGTAAGTAAAGACAAGGTTAAAGTAATCATTGCTCCCTTTTCTCTCTTTTCTGAAATTCTTCCCCCTCCTTTTTCTGCCTATTCACTGTTCGTGCGTTCAACACTATTAAGTCCAGACACGATTTCCAACACCCAAAGATGGTCAAAGATCGCCAAGTGGACCGACCCGTAATTGTGCCATGGATTAGTTGAAACCTTCATTGAACGGACCTTCTTGGATCCTTGCAATTGTCCTCTCAATAGAAAAAGTAAATCAGATGGAGGGAGTACTGCCGACACTGGGGTCGTTTTGGTGTTTTTTTTTTTGAACCAAGAATATCCTTCATGAACCCATTTAGCGTTCCATTTATTTACAATGGTTATAAACTGATCAAAATCAACAAGGATGGATTTTTCCACTGGTACCTCATTTAGCAAATTTTCGCCTATCCTCATGCATGTATCTTGAGAGAGTTACACACACACAAAAAGCAACATTTGGGGTAAAAAAATCTACCTCCATTTTTTCTATTCACCTTCTATTCTCTACAGATTAATTAAATGTCCCTTTCCTGAAATGTTAGCCAGCCAAAATTCCTTGCAAAACAAAGACAGTGGGAAGACGATCAAGTGCCGGTCAACAGAAGAAAAAAGTCAAAGGAAAAAAAGAGAGCGGGAGAGAATGATCGAATGGATATATATAGGTTCGTAAGAGATGTCCAAATTTTGGCTTCTGTGAATGCGCCAAAAAAGCTTCTAAATTAGTGTACGTCCAATTTAGCAGTCTTGTGTTGCAAATCTCTCTTTCAGCCATTCCCATATGACACCTGTCTTATCCGATTGAAGTTGTTTGATCGTTTTTTTATTGAAGTGCCGTTTCTGCATATGTAATGATACTTAGTGTTTTTCTCTCCCTCATTATACCAACGAGCTTTTGATCTTAAAATAGCTCCACGAGTTTGATACTGGGCGATCTTTTCTAGCTGAACAGTTTTGATGTCTTTGATGATTTCCTCTTCAAGTTTTTTCTGAAGGGCAGATATGTCAGATTCTAAAGTATTTTCCTTTGATTTACTTTTAGCCTTTTTTTGTCTCGCATATTTTAGCGAGCTAGAGCGAATCTGCATCTTCATGGTTTCCCAGAGGAGGACAGCATCTACATCGTCATTGTTTCTGTACTCCTTTGCAACTTCATCAATAGTTTTTTTTAATTAACTCAATATACTCACTGTCCAACAGAAAAGATGTATTGAGTTTCCAGAAGCCCTGGCCTCTGGGGTTACTATTACTAGCAAGGTGGATTGTAATGAGGGAATGATTGGTCTTATAACCCGGTAAAATATCTGCATTTGTGATTGCTGTGGTTAAGCGTCAACTTATAAAATAGTCGAGACGACAGTGCACTTCAGGTTTAGTTCTCTGCCAGGTGAAACGCTTACCGTCTGGATTTAGGGTTCTATCAGGTCTAACAAGTTCGCTGTGTTCTGGACTTCTTTAAGCGAATTTCTATGCGTTGTCACGTTTCCTCCTTTTTTATCCTTCTGAACGTCCATGACGAGATTAAAGTCGCCTCCCATAATAGCGGGGCTCCCGCGCGCGCGAAGCGCGCGTAGGACAGAGCCCCATACCCATGGAATATGGTCAACCTCTTTTCGTTTGGTTGTCACGTGATTGACCGAGCGTACGTACGTACGTACGTACGTACGCGTCTACAGATTGTATGGGTGGGGTAGGGGAGACTATAAAAAGGAAGGGAGGGGTGTCTCAGGCGTGTCTTGGCAAGCCCACATCTTTAATATAGGACATTAACAATATGGTCAATTGACAGCTGTCCAAACAGGATAGCCACTGACCAGTATCCCATGACCATATCACGGGTTCATGTGTCAACTCATCGAGGTGACGTGATTTATTTGGAAGCTGTCCGCTGACCAGTTAACTGTTTTACTAGATCGCGAACAACGTTCAATCTCATACTTTTACTAGTTTGGGAGCACAGGAAAACTGATAATGCACACATATTGGACATCAATGTTTTGATCAATTGACAGCTGTCAAAACAGAGTACCCGCTGACCAGTATCACTTGACCGTATCGCGGGCTCAGGTGTCGACCCGTCGAGGTCAAATATTTTTGAAGTTATCCGCTGACAAGTAAACTAGTTTTCAAGTGATCGCAGGCTCAAGTTCAATTTTTTTCTTAATTCATATGAAATATGTTGTGTTTATGTGCTGCACAATTAAAATTTTGATTGCAAACTGACCTCGGACGTGAAAATTCAGCCAGCTGTTACAGGCAGGGAAGACAGTTGCTTTTGTTTTTTCTCACAATGGTCACGCGTTGGTCACGCTCTACGTCCAATTTTTATGCTCTGATTGGTCAAAATTTGACATGTGAGTTCATGCGCAAAATTTATGCAGCATCTTGAATCTTGTTTACTTTAACAGCTGAAGCTGACAGAGTTTTGTGTCAACTTGTGATGTTTTTAACTGTCTTTTTCCACTGGATGTACAAAATGAAATTCAGCTGCTATCAGGAGTCTTCTGTTACTCATGGCTAGTTTGTTTATTGGGTTTTGGTTGAGAAAACGTCGCTTGTCAAAGTCGGAAATCCGATTTCGGATGGCATCGTTTTCGTTTTCACCTTGCTTGATGCGTAAGAGGATTGCAAAGTCTGAAGCGATACTGGCTTTACCTGATAACTTTCAGGAGCTGCATCTCGAATGGTAAGCCAGAGAAATTATTGTATTTCATGTTTGTTTTTTGTATCTAATTTAATGAAGTGGAGCGTAGTTTATGCGGGAATTTAGTTTATGCGCGTTTGTAAGTTTTGAGACAACGATCTCACCGAGTATCTGGTTTGATATAATCTTACAGAACTTTAAAAAGCCTTTAGACAGTTTCTCACCGCAAATATAAAGAAAATGTTCCAAAGAATCTTTAGTTATAATTCTAGCCGGAAAAGAAAGCTTTGAGCGATTTTCTTGCCTCGAGTTCGTCTTTGAAAAAACAAACACCGGGAAGCTGGCTTAAAACATAAACTTCAGCAAACTTAAGCTTGAAGCTTGAAGACTCAGGATATTTAGGGACACTTTAATACTTGTCTTCCTGAATGAAAATTGTTGTCTCTGTTTATGTTTCACCGAATTATATTTCTTTTATTGATTGTTGGTAGTCTCTCTTGCAATTTTAATCGCTATGCCGATTGTTTTCAGTCGTTCAGTGAACATCGCTTGCAGGAGTTCTCAAAATGCCGCGCGTTAAACCATCAAATAAAAAATAAACATGATAAATTCTTTATTATCTTGGAGCGTAACTCTGTTAATGTTCATTCAAACACTCGCTAGAGCTCGCACTACAAAAGTGAGAACCGGATGGCCGTATAGGTGATTTTGGAAAATTTTTTTAACAGTTTATGAATATTGAATAAGAGCAATTTGTATTGGGAAATACTGCTTTCTGTCCATGGTATAAAAGGTTGGTTTACACGCACCCAGATTTGTTGGCAAGATTTTGCAAAGTAAACTTGTCGAACGCCAAAACGTTGGCCTGATTTTTTTTTCTAAGCCTAATTGATCTACGGTGATCAATAGCCATTACGGCTCTTAAATGTGATAAAAGATGATTACCAGTTTTTGAGTGTACATATGAGGCTATCAACTCGATGTAAGATTTGGTTCACTCTTGGGCTGTTTGCAAATTATTTTTCTCTAAAATCAGGTAGCCTTACCCTCAAAAGTCACATAAATGTGCTCTAAAGTTAACTGAATTGTGGAATTCGAATACAAGTTTATTGTTTAATTTAAATTATAAATTTACTAATGGGAGCCTCGCTTTTAGCCCTGGCTAAATCTATATATTAACTTCTTCACATTCAAAAGAGAGGATTTGATCAAGAAGATTTCGGAAAAAAAGTAGGATTGTCATTATTCGGTGCATAAGTGTTAACTAAAGTCAAAATCTTGTTATCTATTTTCATGTCTATCATAATATGTCTTCCTTGATTAGAAAATTGCCTGATTATTTCAAATTGAAAGTTATTGTTAAATAGTGTACAGATTCCGGCACTTGCACTGGAAAAGCTACTAAGAAAAGCGGTAAAGCCCCACTCCGACTTCCACAGGGGATCTTTTTCTTGAGTACAGTGGACTGGACCTCTTGAAGAAAAAAAATTCCATATATTTTCATCTTAAGCCAACGGAAAGTTTCCAGCCTTTTAGGGGAGTTGGACAGGCCCCTCACATTCAAGGAAACAAATAACTAGTAAATCGTTTAAAGTGAAGGTGATGATTATAAAGTGGAGACAAAACGTAATAAGGGTAGTAGGACACAAAGGCAGCAAAACAATTAACACCTAACAAGAAAGATATACAAGTTAAGCAAAAAAGGAATAATCTAAGATTTACATTTGGTTTGGACGAGGTCCGATGCCAGATAAGCGAAAACATCTAGGGGAAATTCAGTAGCGCTGGGGAGTTTGTTTGCGTCCTGTACGTGTGACTAATAAGCGTTGAAACATTGTTCAGCTAGAATTCGAATTAAGGGTGCTCGATTCCTTCAGATTATCCGGGATGTTATCTACGTTATAGACATTGTTATTTACCACCAAGTTTCTGTCTACCACCCTTGCATTCATACCGTTCTTGCGGGCCAGAAACATAGCCTTGATTAAACCTTTTCTCTCCATCTGAATAGCTTTGGCATAGTCTTGAGTAATATACACGTTTTCATATTGTGAAGAATTTCGCAGCCTTCCCTTCGCTTTAAGTACCATATCTCTGTCCTCTCTGCACAGAAAGCGGGTAATGATTGGCCTTGGATAAGCTTTCGATGTCTCATCCGACGAACGCCGTTGCCCACTGTATGAATCGCATGGAATTGAAGATTCTCAACGTCCATGTTTGGCTCGTTTTCGACGATATCGTAAATAATGTTCGCACAGTTTTCACCTTCTTGTTCTGGTACGTTCATGAAACGTAGATTTTCCCGCCAGGAATAATTTTCAAGGGCAATTACTTTCTCCTGCTCCTCCAAAAATCTTTCTTTCAAGGCGCCAATCTCCGTCTCGAGCTCGGCATTCTTTGATGAAGCCATAGCCAGTTCCCTTTTTACATTATCCGAACTATTTTGGTAGGTTTTCTTGAAGACTGCGTGTGACTTAGATTCTGCTTGTAGGTCTGCGATGACATTCCACGCTGATTCAAGTGATTTCTCTACCCTGTCAAGGTGCTTTTAACCCCTTCGATCTCTTCTTTAAGTTCGTGTCTTAAAATCGAAATCAGTATCAGATTTTAGCCCACCGAAATGTTCCTCTATTATGTTATCCAAGTAAGATAGCTTTTCCATGATTCGTTCGAGCGAGGTACGATCGTCGGGCATTTTATCCATACTGCAGGATTCCGTATTTCCCTCGGCTGTCGCTCCGAGCAGTTTGTTTCATTTTGGTGACGGTCGGGATTGCGTTGAGGACGAGCTTGAGGATCTTTGGTGTCGTTTGGACATTAGACCGCTTTTTTATGCACTGAACATTACTTTTAGGACGCTACATTCCTCTCCAGATTACTAATATTTACTCTGCTACGACCACTGCTGCGGTCAAAATCTGGCGAAGACTCTTTTCTCGTTACCGCAATTTTAAAATCATCCACTTCGCACTGTACTAACCCAAAAAACGATGACAATGAAATGTTTTTCTACTTTTGGAACTTGATTATGATGGTAATAAAAGTAGTGTTCACACAAGGCTGAACAAAAGATGTGATCATTTTCTTCTTATCATTTTTTTCCGTGTTTGTCTGTTTTATGATTGGTTAGTTGTTTTCCAAGGAAGTTACTCGTACAGCCAGTGTATAGCAAAAATATTTTGCGATAAAAGGTGGAAGTGTTTACAGCGTCCGTTTTTGCTCTTTAAAATTCCAATTTAAATCTATCATTCTTATCGTAAATCTTATTTACATTTCAGCTGTTAGAAGTCACCAAATGACACTGAAAGCTGATGTTGCGTGTTTTCTGCTTGTTTTTATTGGCTGTTTGGTAAGTGTTCTAAGGTTAATGATGGAGTGGTAAAATTTAAATGAGAGAGAGAGAGCCGGTAAACGTCTTAAACCCTCTCTGAAAATTTTGATTCCAAGCTGGAAATATGACCATCGACACTGTTGTGTAGTATACGTTACACAACATTGCCAGTGATTATGTTTCGAGCTTGTAGCACCTCTGGTCTATCATTTAGTGTGCAGATACCAATTCTGACCGATCAGTCAAGTAGCAATTAGAAATCTGAACTAACAGTAAACAAACGACAACAAAGTAATTCTAAAGTAACTTGCTTTAGGCGGTTTAATAAAAGTATTTCATTCGCAAAAAAGACCCAATTTAAGAGGCGTAACTGAAAGCTGCAGTAGTGTCTTCTCAGCCACTCTGGAGTCTCACGTTTCTTAAAAGACTATAACTTTTCAGGCACGGAATCAATGATTGAAATAGTGATAAAAAGATTCATTTATTGTTTCATTCAAAGAATAAAACTGCACAGTCCGGTTAATAAACCAGTCTATTTGATTTGTAAGTAATCTTTTTAGCATAGTATCTGCAAATCTACTGAAACCAATCCTCGATCTTCAATGTAAACAACAACGGCCTTCTGGGCAGTTCTTCGTACAACGTGTACATGTACATGTACATGTAGTATATTTTGTTTTGTTTCCTTTTTGAAGTAAAAAAAACGCGGGTCACAGCTGACCTATTAAGTCTATGTGCCAAACAAAGTGAACTGAAGAAGAGAAGGCGTGAGACAGTGGAAGGGGGCCAAAAACTGCAGAGCAGTAAACCAGGAAATCAAGAAGACCTGAAAAAAGGCAAAAAAGTCCTGGGTCGGGTTGTTGAGAGCTACGTCTAAGATAACCCAGGGTTAGTGCCAACCGTCTGGATTTCAGATATGAAAGCTTAAAAAGCAAATCCAGTTTAATTCCTCTTGTCTACATTTTGACGATTGGATACTCTAAAAAGAATAAAGACAGTTACACGAGAAGTCGCTTTTGAAGAAAAGAAAAAGAAACCCGCGTTAAAATTCCACCCCGGTTTAGTGCTAATTGGCCTTAGAACAGCTGTCAAGATATCGGAGATAATATCAAGATCAATAGCAAGAAAGCATATCAGCTAGTTCAAGTTCTAACTAGCAAAAATAGCATTGCCAAAGTGACACCATACAGGACAAAAACGGAAACCCAGGACATTCTAAAAAGGTGGACAGAATACTGCATAGAACTGTACAGCCACATAGTCGAGGCTTTACAACATTAACGCCAACCTGATCTAAGTCGTAGAGAACCTCCACAACAACAGCACCAGTGCAGTCTACCTGAAGTGGCAGCATGCAGTGTAAGACACTGGTCAAAGACGACGATCGGAGTCATGCAAGGTTGTCTGCTCCCACCGACTCTCTTTAACATCTTTAATTTCTGGAGAAGACTATGACTGATGGACTGAAAGATCACAAAGGAACGGTTAGCTTCAGAGGCACAACAATCACCAACTTACAGGTGTTCGTTTTGCCGACGACCTCTATGGCTTCACAGGAAAAGAGGAGGAACTAGCCTTTCTGGTGGATTGCCTGGACAAGACCTTTTCTGCCTTTGGCATAGAAATTAGCGCAGAGAAGACCAAATTAACGACCAACAACACAGATGGCATCAGCATTGACATCAGGGTCCGAGGGGAATAACTGGCACAGTTATCACAGAGCAGACGTTGAGAGCGGATATCCAGAAGAAATTTCAGGCCACTGCGATGCTTTAGGAAACTGCGCGGCATCTCATGAAGAGACCACATCACCAACAATACAGTCTGAGACATTATCAGGCAAGCCGTCGGGCCCTATGAAGACGTCGTAACCTCGGTAAAGAAACGTGAGTTAATGTGGTTTGGGCAGGTATGAAGATCAGCAGTGCTCGTCAAGACAATGTTACAGGGAAAAGTGCAAGGAGTGACAAGAAGAAGTAGAAGAGAAAAGAAGCGTTGCAAGAAAAACATCTCTGATTAGACAGTGTTCAGGCCCTAAGAGAATCTGAAAACAAAATTATATGGAGGGAAACAGCTGTTAGGTCCATGGCGCCCCAACGGTCATCATGACTACGGGGTAGGTGCAAGGTGACCCCCATTGGTCTCTCTAAGGAAAAATTTCTTAGATAGTAACTACTCCATAGACTAAGTGCAAAGGTTTGTAACTGTGTATATCATTGCTTACTATGAATCTGTTGCTTTTTTGCCTAGGGTTGGTGAAGACGAAAGGAGGAATAGTAGACGCTGCCTGGGCAAAAGAAACAACAAACTATTAGTCACTAATTAAGTAACCTTCAATGTAGGCATTTAAGCAAGCATGTGCCTATTAGCGCTGATTTATATACCCACTTTAACCAAGTTTTAACCCTTTGACAACCGCTTTTGTCATATTCTTTCCATATGGCACGATGCATGTTCTCCTTCCTGGACCCATTATTTAGCTTTCAGTTTAAGCTATTAAGTTGGTGTGCAGCAAATTTAGCAAGGACAGATCTTTCCACAGGTAACTCATTTTGAAAATGTTCTCCAATCCTGAAAGAGGAGCAAGGTTGACGCAGCGGTGAGAGCTTTTGCCTCCCACTTATGTGGCTTTCTTTGGGTACTCCGGTTTTCCCCTCTTCCAAAAGCTAGTGCAATCTGGAGCGCAAAGACAATTTGATTTACTATTTAGACTTAAACACCATAATCCAAGTAACATTTTGGAAAAATTCCACTGCAAATTTCGCCTTTTCACAATTCCAAGTGAAAGTGGGCAACACATCCACTTAAAAAAAAAAGAGCGAGAAATATTTGCAATGAAAGGCTAACATTTGGCTTATGCGTATGCGCCAAAAACACGAAGGCTGGTTCATTACATCCAATTAACAGAAAATATGCCCAGTGTTACAAATCTAGCCATTCCCATGCTTACTGGCGAAAACCTTGTCTAAAAAGTGGAAAACGCGCTTTTTTTCGCGACTCAGGCGCTCGCCAAAAGGCCAAGCGAGAGATTTTAGGGTCACGTCTACGGCAAACGGCAAACGTCAGATTCAAGTTGAGGATTTCTCAAAATAGAAAATGAGCAGTTAAAACTGTCCAAAACAGTTCTTACAGATAAAACTGGCGTGAAACTACTCATTTTTGAGAAGAAGTAATGACGAGTAAAGGGAAAACTTGGTCACGTGGTACAAATTCACGTTTGCCGTAAACGTACCGCGTGTTGCTAAATCTCTCTAATATTTTTGTAGCTTGTCATCACGACCACATCAAAATTATCGTGTTTAAATGAAAGATGTCATATAAGATATAAGGTTTTTAGTCGATGGTAGATTTTATCGTTAAGGTGTGTTTTCGGGATAAAAATGGAAGGCTTCTAAAGTTAAGGGGAGACTTACCTATTTCTTTGTCTTGCTTTAAGCTTGTTTGTCTAACGTTAACTGTCTTTATTATTACTATATAAACGGAAGCTTAGATCTGTACATGTGTAATACGTATACGATTTTCCTTTTAAAAAAATAAATGAATGTAACAATCGCTCCGCACCACAAATGTCTGTGGTTGGCTCTTCGTCATTGATACCCGCGTTTCCAAGGATTTGGCTTTCTTTGCGCTTTTCACAGGGCAAGCTACCTATTTTTGTCTTGAAAGCATCTGAGAACTCGATTTGCAGGGAAGTTTGTGTCGCTGTTCTGGCAGTTCTCAGTCCCCGTAGTAGCACCCTCCGCAGCAAAGTAAAATTCTATCCGAGAATTTTGTGAGCGCTAAGAAAGTGAAAGTCTAGGATTCTTTCTGAACACACTTTAAAAGGAAATGCCGATAAACTTGTTAAAGAGTTTCTTAGCGCTCTTGAATCTGCGACCTCTTGGTTAGACATGCGTGAGGTTGAAGTCGAGAGTCAGACACGAGTGCGATGGACAGCTTGTTATTTCTGTAACGTAGCCGTTAAGTTAGTCATTTGGTTGTCATATCAGTTGTAAAGTATAGTATTTTGGGAAGGTAGCGAACGTTCAAGTGAGGACTCGAGGGGAGGACAATCAGGACGAAATAACGTGTTTCCGTAT